CGGATGGATGCTTCAGCACTTGTTTTTACAGCTTAAGACCGATCGCCGAGATGACTTCGACCTTACCGATCTTGAGTTTTGGTCTTTTTAGCATTCCAATCACCATTGCTTGAATGTGACCTCGAAGGATTTCGTTTAAAAGATCTCCCGCTTGGCACATTCTGCCAACCTTGTTCATAGCAGAGAACATATGAACGATGTGGGAAATTTCTAGCAATATGACCGGGAGTCCCACAGTTAAAACAAGTTTGTTTTTCAAATAAATAAGATTGTGACTTGATCCTTGCCCGAATGAAGTTTGTTTCAAAGAACTTCCACAAGCACAAGCACATGCACATTTATTAGATTGTTTAATAATTTTTTTGTGGCTTGAATTTTTCAACAGTGGAACTATTATCATCACAATTTTTTGAAGCATTTTCAGTAGAACTAGAATTATTTTTGTTATGCTCAAACTCATCTTGCATTGTTACTTTATTTGCACATGAAGTAGAAACATTAGTATAGTTCACCTCAATATTCTCAGTTTTGTCGGATTGTTCAGTCTTAACTGAATTTGATACAGGGGCTGGCCATATTGAGCAGGTCTTTCTATTTCGATGGTCTCAGAGGTAAAAAAATAATTATCATTAAAAGGAGGTGGAACACTATGATACCCTAAACCATTTTTCTGGTTATCTTTCCATTTCCATTGTTTCTCTATCATAGATTCAACTATCTCACTAGACACATCAAATTTCTTAAAGTTAAATTTAACATCTTGAAATTTAGCTTTTAACGCATCAAGTTCGATAGTTAATTTGGCAATTTCCACTTTAGCATAACGATGGTGAACACATTTGGTGCTATATTCCTCCCTAATCCTAATTAAATCTTTATTTTGAGCATCTAGTTTTTCTTTAAGAGGCTTGTTTACTTCCTTAATTTCATAGATTTTATTTTTAAAATCGAAAACTTCTCTTACGAATAACTCATTATGCTCACTATATTTATTAACTTCATCTACGCAAGATTTAGAGCATGAAACTTCATTAACCTCTTTGGTGGTAGGAGTGGTGGAGACCATGAAAGCAAACTACAACTCCATCAGCTTCTCCTCAACCAAATCAACATCCTCACCATCTTCAACTACAACTCCATCATCTTCTCCTCAGCCAAATCAACATCCTCACCATCTTCAATCTGGGCAAGATTAGCTCTTCCATCTTTTGTAATGTTGACAACCTGCATCTGATATTCCCACGAAAAATGTTGTGCCACCATAGCATTCTCATTATTCAGATGCGCTTCTCAATTGTTTCCAGTTGGAACTAAAGCCCTCTCATCATTATTTTCAACTCCTGGCTTGGTGCACTCATGAGCAAAATGACCTGCCTCATGACAGTAGTAACACTGCAACTTGCTCTTGTTGAAGCCCACTTTCTTATCCACATTCACTCCCCAGTTATTATTTCTAGTTCGCTGAGTGAACTTCTTTGCCCTGAACACCGCCATAGCAATTTGCCATGATATGTCCATCTCTTTAACATCCTCAAGGTGAGTTTGATCGAGTTCTCCGATCCTAACTAGAGGAACTAATTCACCAACAACAAATACATTATAACAGTTCATGAATCCAACCATCATAGCCATGTTTTCTTCAGCTCCTTTGGCAACAGCTGGAGATTGCAAGGTGGATTTGGTGGTGGAACTGGAGGCAGAGGAGTTAGGAGATACCATTGGCAGACCAAAAGTTGGAGGAGCATGATGCGATGGTACAACTGGAAATGTGTTGTTAGTGGATGCTCCTAAGCTTGCAGTTAAGTAGGAATTGGCATGATTAATTTCTCTCTGCTAGTCATCCATGTCACACGCCTTGATGATAGCCATCACTTCAACAAGATATAGTTTACTCGGGTCCTTTGTCTTCTTGATCACAGACACATTCATATCTCAATTCCTGGGAAGTGAATTAAGCAGCTTCTTATTTATCTCAGAGCATCTATGTTGAGAGTAATAAAGTGTTGCAATTGAACTTCTAAAAGTCTCCCCAAGAACATGATTGAACATGTTGAATCTTTGACGAAGCAAATTTTGTCTGCTTTGCTTAATATCCTCATTCCCTTCATACACCTCAATCAGGGCTTCCCACAGAGCCTTAGTAGACTTATACTACTAGAAACCTTGAGTAATATCAGGAGACAAAGCCATGGTAAGAATGACCAGTGCTTTCTCATCATCTTCAAGATTTTTGACCGAATGATTGAAAACGTTGACCGAGATCGTTGACCGAAGTCCCTGTTTTAACCGAGAGCGTTGACCGAACACAAAGTCAGACCGAAAACTAGAAGTTTGACCTAGTTGCTGACCGAGAACTCCAGTAGCCGCATAAAGCACCTGAGACCTAGCCAAGAACTTAAACTTTCCGTCGAAAACGTCCATACCTGTTCGAAAAACTCCCAAAAATATCAGAAACACGAAATTGGTAATTTACCAAAACCAATTTCGATCAAAGTCTCCAATGTAATGAAGAACACGAAGAACAACAACAACCATTTTTCGTCAAAATGAAATTAAAAAACACCAAGAAAAATTCCAAGAAACGTTTAATATCTTGCCAATTCGATTGATACCCATCCTTGCTCTTATACCAATTGTAAAACCTAATATGATGTATCAATCGAAGTCACTATAATTTGTGAGGAATCCCAATCTAATGATTAACGCAAAATAGTTATAATGAATTAAGAACACAATTACCGAATCTTCAATGCACACTATATTGATCAATAATCTAGTACATAAGATCTCTTTGTTTCTCAGTTCTCTCTATCTCTCTAAACTCAAAATCAGCTCCTTAGAACGACTAACCCTAAACACGACTGAAATAACACTATATATACCTAGACCAATTACAAATGCCCAACCCAAAAACCTAACCGAAAGCATCATTAAACCCACCGAAATCACATGGTGATTTCGGTCCACACACCACCGAAAACATGGTGTTTTCGGTCCTAGACCGAGAACTCTAAAACTATCAAAAATAAAGTATAAACCACAAGTTATGTCCTAACATTCAAGTTCAACCAACCCATTTTCAAAATAAAAAGTAGATGAATAAGAATATTGAGAAAATCTTTTATATTGATTCTATTTACTTTGTTCGTTGGATTCTTAGGGATTCCTTTCATTCAAGATGTTGATATATTATCCAAATGGTTAACCCCGTCTAAATCTTTTACATCAAAATTCAAATAATTCGATAGATTGGTATGAAATTAGTAAAGATGCATTTTTTCAGTCAGTATAGTCTCTTTCGGAATATTTATAGCCTTTTTTTGTTTTATACCCACAAATATTTCCCTTTCTAACAACACAATTACTAGTATACTTATTGTGATTCCTAATACAAGAGTAAAAATAGGAATAAGAATCCATATGATCCCATAAACATCTTTTAAGGATTCCAATATAAAAAAAAAAGAATTTATAACTTGTACTTCTGTTATATTAATTATTATTTTAACGATCAACTTCTCCCATAAATGATATCTATATACATAGTATCGCCATATTTTCAGCCAATTTCATTCTTTTAACTAATTGAGGATTATATCAACTTATTTGGTAAATTATATCACATAATCTGTAACGAACCGTTTGAAAATAGTTTTTTCAAAGTATAACGTCTTAAGTGCAATCGTATAATTGGTCAAATTTCCAAAGTACATATTATATTATCTAAAATTAAAAGTAAAGATAGGTTAAAAAGATTAATTTTGAAGGATTACGGTAAACTTAGCAATAAAACATATGCTGTTGTATTTAAAGAAGTATTTGAAAATTTTTGATTCAGTATAATTATTTATAATATGTTAATAGATTTTTATTAATATAGATTGATATATTACTTATTTTTGTATTTAATTCAAAATTATACTTTAGAAAATATTTAATTTTACATATTAATATTTATTGATATTTAATTTTTTTAATCAAACTCGTTTAATACATAGATCTCTAGCTATTGCTATTGGTATAATATTATACAAAAGATGATAATAATACAAGGGTGCTTTCTTCGACCAAAACAAACACTTTGTTCACCTCCTAATTCATTTTACCTCGTTTTGTGATATCATTTTTCTATTTTTTGATAATTTAGTAATGAACGTCAACGTTCGCCTAAACAAAACAAAAGAAAATTATAAATTATAAGCAACATCATAGAAAATAAAATCAAGAAAATAATTAAGATAATCACTGATCAAAATGCTAGATGCCGTGACATAAAACAACTACATTTCTAGGAGTATACATACATTTGTCACTAATAACCATTCGTCTTATTATATATGCATTTCAAAATAATAATAATAAAAAAAACTTTTTAAATTATTTTTCTAACTAATATTTTTATAAGAAGCTTTTCATCAAATAAAAGAAATTTTGAATTCTCTTTCAAAAAAAAAAAGAAATTTTGAATTTGTTTTTTTTTTTTTTTTTTGTGAAAATACTATTTTTATACAAAGTAAATATTATTTTTTAGAATGATCATTCATAAAATAATTTCTTAACAAAAATAATTTAAAACTTATCTGGAAAACAAACGATTATTTTATAATAATTTTGTAAAACAATAATCATTTATATTTTAACACGTCTTATTTTGTTCAATTTTATTCAATACCTAAACTAATAAGTAGTTGTCTCATTTTGTAGTGAAGTTGACAAGTTGTAACCACTAGAGTATAGACCACATTATGGGCTAGGTCCTCCTTTGCTCATTAATAAACCATAAATAATTGATGGCGTAAGAGAACTGTGATACATTAGAATTTATTAAAACAAAAAACATTAAGAGTTTATTAAAACAAAAAGTATTAAAAATTCATAAAATCAAATAAAAAGTTAAAAACCCGTAAATAATTATAATTTTAGTAAAACGAGTAATAAGTATCGTATTTATTCCCGTATCTGTCGCCTGTTGCTTAAACTCAATCGGACGATCCAGATTTAATCTTACCACCCATAACTTGCTCCTCTTTAATTACTCCCTTCCCCGTTTATAAACCACCACCTCCGTCAATTTCGTCCTTCATCCCCATTTCCTCTGTAATTTCTCAACAAATTTCTTCTTCCTTACAATAGGTTGTTGCTGTTACTCTCCAAATCAACTAACAAAATGTCGAATGATAAAGAGAGGGAAACTCAAGTTTACAGGGCCAAGTTATCGGAACAAGCGGAGCGTTACGAAGGTATCTACTTCAATCGTCGCTTAACTTTCTGTTTTTTTTTTTGACGTACATTTGTATGATTTGGAATTTGGATCTTGTGTTGCTCGATCGATTTGTAAATTTTGATGTTGATTTGATTCGTATGATAGCATGCATGAGATGTTTTTAAGAATATGTATTGGTTATTGATCGACAGTTCTGTGTTTGATTTTGTTGATTTAGTTTTACGACATGATTTTGCTATAATATTTGGTTGATTAGATGAGTACATGATTTGGTGAACGAGATTTTGTAGGCTATGTTTGGTTTTGTTAGAGTATTCTGTATAAACGAAATAACCTAAATGTCTGTTGCTTAAACAGCCTATGGATTTCAATTGTTTTGTATCTTCAACAGATAGCCACTTGAACACATCTCCTAAGAGACTCGTATCGATTAGGTCGTTTATGATTTTCATTTGCGAGTCGTATACATAAGATCTGATTCAAATTTCATCTCGCTGATAACTTTACTAATCATGACCACAATATTTGATATTGTCAGAGATGATTGAAAGTATGAAGAGTGTTGCAAAACTTGACGTCGATCTTACTGTTGAAGAACGCAACCTACTTTCAGTAGGATACAAGAATGTGATTGGTGCAAGAAGGGCCTCATGGCGTATCATGTCATCAATTCAACAAAAGGAGGAGTCAAAAGGAAACGAAAACAATGTCAGTCTGATAAAGGGATACTGCAAAAAAGTTGAGGACGAACTTACCAAGATTTGCAATGACATTCTCACCATCATCGATAAGCATCTTTTACCCTCTTCAAAATCAGGAGAAGCTACTGTTTTCTACCACAAGATGTGAGGCATTCGATTTTTACTTTCTTTTTTCTTGATTAAATATATGTTTTCTTTCACTATTTTTTTCTCTTGATGTTCATACAGGAAAGGTGACTACTTTCGGTATCTTGCTGAGTTCAAGACAGATGATGATAGGAAAGAAGCTGCCGATCAATCATTGAAGGGATATGAGGCATGAATCTCTAATATCAACAGTCAAATTGACATTTAATTCACATGAAATTTGTGTTGTTTGTAGGCTGCTTCTACTACTGCAATTGCAGAACTCCCTTCCACTCACCCAATCCGCCTTGGTTTGGCTCTCAATTTCTCAGTTTTTTACTATGAGATTATGAACAATCCTGAGAGGTAATATTTAGTTTTTTTTCTTTGAATATTGAGGAGTTGTACTTTATGTTAAAACTATTGTACATGTTACAGGGCCTGCCATTTGGCTAAACAAGCTTTTGATGATGCAATTGCTGAGTTGGACAGCTTGAGTGAGGAATCATATAAAGACAGCACCTTGATCATGCAGCTGTTGAGAGATAACCTCACACTTTGGACCTCTGATTTGCCTGAGGATGGAGGTAGATATAATATATAGAAAATTATATTAATTTAAAAGATTGGTTTCAAATCTTATTAATTTATGTTTATGTTTGATTACAGGTGATGAAAACTCAAAAACTGAAGAAGCAAAACCAGCTGAACAAGAGGTTAGTACACTGAATTTTGCCTCATTTGTGTGCGTGTGTGATTTGAAAAGGAATTATTTATGTGATTGAAATTGTGATGGAGTTGCAGAAGCAGTGACTGAAATTTACTGGTGCGATGAAGATGAAGATGAAGATGAAGATGAAGATGAAGATGAAGATGAAGATGAAGATGAAAATGAAAGTGAAAGTGAAAGGGAGTTGAGTATGGAAAGTGAAAAGTAGTTGAATGAATGATATGTCATATGTTTGTGGTTTTTTGGTTGATTTGATTTGAGTTGTTCCCTAAGAGAGCTTCTACTACGTACCCCTTTGAATCTTGATGTTGTATTAAAATGAATCAAGAGAATATAAGAAGCAGCTATTCTGTGTTGCTGTTGCTTAATTATGTCATCTTTATTCTCTATTTGCGTTCAAAGCTGAAGATCCGTCAAGAAATTCAAAGAATGATATAATAATAAAAACTTAAAATCATGTGTAGATCCGGGTATATGTGCATAAATAGTTAATGGAAGTGCACTTGAAAAAAAGGTGAATGAATATAATGTTGGAGGAAGTCAAATGGCAGGGCATTCAAGATTCACCTCAAGGCTCAACAACACACGCTACACTTTCATCATCATTTTTACATACAAAAATTGGAGCCATCATCACAATCTTTACTCTTTCCAAATCAGAAACACAATTAACCTGTAATGCAAACCATGAAACCATCCCACTTTTCTTATCAACATTTACAAGTAGTTCACATTTTACAAGCAAGCAAGATGCAAATTGTCATGTGTAAGTTACAACATGATATGGCTATAATGTCGGCTATGTATAGTGACCATACTTGAAACTACCTACTCTCGTTGAGCAATAGAAGACACCGGCCTCAAAACATTACAAAATCCAACATCTAGTAAGAATTGGTGTTAAAGCTTAGAAAGCAAAGTGAGTTTATGTAACATCTGATAAATTGAATAACACCTACAAGGTATAGTTTTGATCTTTAACCAAGCAATTTGTGGGGAAATGCTAGGAATTTATTGTATTTAAGGAATTGATTTTTCTAAGATTGATTATTATTTATTGTGGTTTGATATTGTTAATAATCAGTTTTGAGCAGGAAATGCTATGAAGGGTGTTTGTTATTGTTGATTATTTAAGGTGATTATTACTTATTGCGGTTTAACATTGCTAATAATCCATTTTGAGTGTTTGAATGAAATAAAATAATTTACATAAACAATTTTTAATAAGCTGTTTAAAAATACATATAGAGCATAGCTACCAATTCACCCTTTCCTGAGCTTCAATTTGGTAACGCACGTCATAAGGTGAAAAGCACTTTTACAAATTACAAAATGGCATATACGACGTCATTTTGCATCAAGTATAACCGGATCATATAAAAGGGACAGCAAAATTCAAGATCCCATTCAAGTTTTGTTATAAAACTCTAGCTCAAAGAAAGTCAAGAAAGATGTATATTTACAAAACCTATCTCATTCATATGTCTTCAAGATTCTTCCTTTGTAAAATAACTTGGTGGCAAGCTAAACTCTTCTACTTGATTCAAAATCCCTGTCTCCTCATCATCCGCTTTCTGCAAAATTCACACATAACTTTTATTATAAAATCAAATTTTATACACACAAAAAAGGATCAACTTTGGCACCACACAACACAACACAACACACACCAGCATTTCCAAGTTATAGAAACGATCCAGCATCTGCAAGACATCTGAAGCAGAAAACTGCCTATTGAAGCTACAAGAGCAAAAAAAGTTAACATAAAAATTCAACAGTGGAAATAGTAAAGAGGGGGAGGAAAAGGCAAAACCTTCTGCGCATGTATTCTGTTAGACCATAAAGAACAAAGTGTCGGTGTATACCTGTATGTTCATAAATATGAATCATTCTTGATCAAATTCATCAACACGATGACTTAATTCAAAGCTTTGAAGAAGGGATTCCGTTAAATAAACAAATTTTACCTCGTAACTTTACAGGTGGATAGATTTCAAGAGCTTCTAACAATTTCAGCTCCAAATCAACCTGTGATTGCTCCTAAAATGCCAAACATGAAGAAAAAGAATCACTTCATATGAAATAAAAATGGGAACAAATCAAAAAAGATATCAAATAGCCAGCTGCATTTCAATTCTAACAACTGAATAATCGAGATGCCTGCTCAACTTTTAAAATCATCAAGGTTTTAGAAAACGATATATCGATTTTTTTTTTCATAAAAACGAGTTACGAATTGCATACTGATCTAACACCTTTTTTTTCATGTATGAAAACCATAACCAATCTCACTCATACATATAAAATTATACACATAGAGAAGAGAGAGATGTAACCTTCCGAAGAGAAGAAGCGGACGAATTCGGAGCCTTGCACGGGGAATGAACTGACAATCCATCTTGTTCTTCTTCTTTACTTCCTCCGCTTTTCTTATTTACCCCGCCATTCATCTTTATTTTTACGATTTCAGCAACAATAACTTCTTTTTTGGTGTATTGAGCACAGATTTGGACCAATTTAACGATAACGAAACAAGAATAACGTTGAATCAAATTCAAAATGAGTCGGTGGAAGATTTTGGGTATGTTTTGATCAGTTCAATCTGTGTAGCTAGGGATTTGGCGTTTGATCCGGATTTACTAACTTTCGGAAAAATGGGTTTGTTGTAGGGCTATTGGGCTGTCTCTTAATTCGGCTTCTACTAGGCTCAAAAAAAAAAAAAAGAATTGCTTTTAAAGTCATTAAGAGAAAAACTATGATTGGTTTAGTTACCGAAGAACACTTTCATTTTCATTTTCTTTTTTTAGTTTTCGTTTTTCATTTTTCGTTTTCGGTTTTTATTGAAAAATTTAGAAAACGTGTTTAGTTAAAATTTATTTATTTTTCATTTTCAGTTTTAGAAAATTAGAATATGTGTTTACATGTATATTTTTCTATCGGTTTTCATTTTTAGAAAAAGGTAGCGGTGATAGGGTGGACGTGGGGACGATGGCGGTGGTGGGGGCAGTGGTGGTGATGACAGGCAATGGTGGTGGCGGCGTCAATTGTGGCAGTGGTAGTGGTGGTGGTGATGGGGTAGTGGTGATGGTGATGGTGATGGTAGGTCGGTGATTGTGTGTGGTATTGGTGTTAGGTGGGTGGGTGTGGGTGTGTGTGGGTGCGGGGTGGGGTGGATGTGGGTGTGGGTGTGAGTTTGTGTGTGTGTTTATGGGTGGGTGGGTGTGTGTTTGGGGGGGGGGAGTAGGGTGGGTGTATCATGTGTGTGTGTGTTTGTGGGGTTGGTGTGTGTGGGTGTGGGTGTGTGGGTGTGGGTGTGTGTGTTTATGGGGTTTGGTGTGTGTGTGCGTTTGTGGGTGTGTGTGTGTGTGTGTTTGTGGGTGTGTATATATGTGTGTTTGTAGGGTGGGGGTGCGCTTGGGAGTAAGTGTAAGTAGGTAGGGGTGTGGTGGTTTGAGGGTAAGTAGAGGTGGATGGGAGTGGGAGTGGGTGTTTATATTTTAGAAAAAATTTAGAATTAGAAAAAATGTGGAAAACAATAATTATCAGTTTTCCAAAAATTTTCAACTTCTTTGTAATTTTAGAAAACGGAAAATTTTCATTTTACGTGAAAATTTTAGAAAAATAGACGAACTAAACGCGTTTTCAAATTTCTCATTTTTCTTCGAATTTTTTTTCCGAAAAACGGTCCATTTTTTCACAACTAAACGCACCCTATAGTTTGCCAATTTCGTCATTGTTTTCTTTGGTTTTATTTCATGTGGTTTTAAAATTACAGATTTTGTTACCTTTAAATGCTTTAGTTATGGATTTTGTTTATGATAAAATTGAAAAAACCAATTTATCTTTTTGATATTTATTAAATATTAACTAATTCTAAACTAGAAAATAACTCCCCCCAACTATCCCTTTCTTTACTGGTTACACCCTCCATAAAATTGAGCGTTTGAAATGTTGCTTCTTGCTTCTCTTCCCAACTGAAAGTTACACCCTTTTGCGTCAGGGTGGTAAGCGGTTTAGCGATTCGGGAGAAATTTTGGATGAATCTGCGATAGTAGCCAGCAAGACCTAAGAATTGATGGATTTCTGTAGGTGTTTTGGGTGTTGGCCAGTTTTCAATTGCTTTGATTTTGGAAAGGTCCACATGTATTCCTTCTGAACTGACCACGTGACCTAGGAATTCAACCTTCTTAATCCAAAACACGCACTTTGAAAACTTCGCATAGAGTTTTTCTGTCCTAAGGGTTTGTAATACTAGACGAAGATGTTGGTCGTGTTCCTCTTTGCTTCTTGAGTAGATAAGGATGTCGTCGATGAAGTCTATGACGAGTTTGTCCAGGAATGGACGACACACTCTGTTCATTAGATCCATGAACACAGCAGGTGCATTCGTTAATCCGAATGGCATCACTATAAACTCGTAATAACCATAACGAGTTCTAAACGCGGTCTTGGGAATGTCTTTGATGCGGGCCCTAGACCTAGACAAATCTGAATCAATTGATCCCTAGACCTAGACAAATCCGAATCGATCTTCTCTATCCATATGCGCCTCTCATCGCTTTTCGACAAAACCCTGCTAATTTGATCAGTTAGGTTAGAGTTTGTCAAACGGGTTCGTTTTAGACTATCACTAATGCTTGAAAAGGTGAATTTTAGGTCATTTAATTCAGTTTCGCATCTAGACACAAGTATATTGAGAGATTCAAGAATTAGATTTACCTTGTTGATCAGCTGTTCGCACTCATTGATTTGTTCAGGAACTGGTCTTGCTGCGAAATAACTATCATCTCCTCCTCCACTCTCCGTGGCATTTCCCTGCATCTGTGACCTTTCATTTGTCACCATCAAACATATTCCTCTAGAGTGCGAACTTTCTTCTTTCGCAATGAATGCTCTACCATGCGTGGGCCTACGAACTTCGTCATCTTCAGAGTCTGCTGACCAGACCTCAACTCCTCCAAACTCGTTTTCAGCAGCATTTTCCTACACAATTAAAGCAGTCATAGAGTTATCAACATTCTTTTTCTTCTTGATCTCCTCTAGCTTTCGCATGTAGTATGCCTCGTCATCTTCTCCTTCCTTCTTCTCATTCAATCTTCTTAGCATGAACTCCTTGGCCAAATGATTTTTACCATGACAATAATTGCAGTCATAGCCTGAGTCTCCCACGAGCTTTTTCTCCTTCTTTTCTTCCTCCTTTTGAGAACCATTTTTATTTTCCTCTTTCACTTTTTCAGAACTGTAGTTGCCCTGCCAGTTTCGGTAATTGATTGAGGGGAACTTCTTCCTTGCGAACCGCTTAGCATTTGAAACCATTAAAGCATACTCCTCATTTGTA